AAAAATGAATTGCTGCTTGTTAGATGAGTCGCAGCTGTGAGTAAACTGTTCCTTCACTTGGAATAGCCTAGAGGTTGTTTCAGGGTTCAATCTGTGAGTTAGCCATGCCCTGACTTAGATCAGCCCAGAGGTTGTTTCAAGGTCCAATCTGTGAGTTAGCCATACCCTGACTTAGATCAGTCCAGAGGTTGTTTCAGGGTTCTATCTGTGAGTTAGCCGTGCCCTGACTTACATCAGTCCAGAGGTTGTTTCAGGGTTCTATCTGTGAGTTAGCCGTGCCCTGACTTACATCAGTCCAGAGGTTGTTTCAGGGTTCGATCTGTGAGTTAGCCATACCCTGACTTAGATCAGCCCAGAGGTTGTTTCAGGGTTTGATCTGTGAGTTAGCCATGCCCTGACTTAGATCAGCCCAGAGGTTGTTTCAGATTGTCGGATAAAATGTGAAGGTTCTTATTTTACTTATGCTAAAACAGTATTTCAAGAGTCCACTAATTTGGGTTGTGAGTCACACTGTAGAATGGTACATAGCATATGTAAATAAAATAGTAAACGTATATGTAAATAATAAATATATCTTATCCTTTATAAAGGCCTGTCAAAATGAAGATGAACTTCAACACCAACATGCAGACAATGGGAGGAAGATCTCCACACAAGGCTAAGTACAAGGTATTTATTGTCTAGATATTTTGTTTTGGAAGCAATGATGGTGTAGAGGCATTGCATTGGACTTGGTATCACATGTGCGAAAAGATTGTAGGGTCTCTCTTTGATTAAAGATGCTTTCTCCAGGTTCTCCTGTTTTCCTCCACCGGCACAACCCGATATGCTAAATTCCATTTCTTTGAGTTAGCCTTGCCCTAACTTACTGTAGATCATCCCAGCGTTTGCTTCAGGGTTTGATCTGAGAGTTAGCCATGCCCTGACTTAGATCAGCCTAGAGGTTGTTTAAGGGTTCGATCTGTGAGATAGCTGTGCCCTGACTCAGATCATCCCAGAGGTTGTTTTGCTAGTATTCGATAACATTAATGTCTGTTTTTCTAAGGTTACCTTTAATGACGATGGGACACTTCAGGGAGTTATTTTGAACTACTATGCTGATACAGGATGCACAGGAGAGGACAATGACCTTATGGCTG